ATATGGTTCCGGACTATCTTAGTTCGCACTTTATCTTCCGTTCCGATACCTTAAACTATAACCTAAGATATAGTGACTGTTTGTTTGCCATCCCACAGACCCGCACTAGTTATTGTAAAAGAAGTCTGTCCTACAGCGGAGCTGTACTGTGGAATAGTCTGCCTTTGGATATTCGACAGTCGCCCTCTCTTAATGAATTTGAATCTAAGCTGAAGAATAATGATTTGAATAGTAGTCTTATGTAAGTTTTGTTTTGCTTTCACACACGGCTTCCTTGTAAAGCAGGTTTTTTTTTAATCATTTCTTTTATTGTAGTAGTTATTTGTAATTTAACTTAATTAGATAGTTAGATTAATTTAATTCAATATTGTAAAGTCCTGAAGGAAATACCGTGTCTAAATAAAGATTTTACTTTAACAAAGGTCATTTGTAGTTTAACCCTCTAGTGTACAAGAGAGAGGGAGTAATCCAAATTTTGATTTTTTGTTTCAAATTTAGGCTTTGTTATTTGTCGAAAAAATGAGAAAGTAGCTGTTTAGCAGGACAAAGGGTTTGGAAAGCATAAAGTCCGTTTCAGGGACCAAAAATCTGCATGATTTTTATCGCAACTTTGTATATAACAGAACACTTTTTCCACAACGAAAATCAATAGGGACTTAATTCCCACCCACTTTCCCCACCCCACAACTGTACCATGATGGAACTGTCACTTCCATGCACATCTCATGATCAAGAAGATCTCGTTAAAATTCACACTGTGTAAGGTTCCCACGGTAATTTTTATAGTTTAAAAATCGAAAAACGGCAAGTTAACAATGCAAGGCTTGCGTTCTAACAGTAGTTTATTGTTCTTGCACACAAAACACTGGTTATATAGACACTCCAAGACAAATACACACTAGTTATCCATGGTATGATTGGAACTTTTACAGCTTTTACAGCTGTTGAACCAAAACATGTACAGACTAAACTTGTTTCTCAAAACAATTGTCAGCTTTAAAGGAGAATTCAAAATTCCCACCGTAAATTATTATGCTTGTTAACGTTTTTTTAGGACAATTTCGTTTTGTCGTTCACCGTGTCGGTTTCTAACTCCATCATAGCGCAAATGACGATGAAAGAATTTAAGCTGCCAAAACGGTAGGTTTTATTCCTTTAACCCAAGTTTAATGATTTATCTAGTTTGCCTAACTTTTGAATCAATTTAGAGCCGTACTGAGTACATAAATCATCTCAATGCAGGGGCGAATAGCTACGAAAACAAATGGGATCTTTAATCCAATCAATCTGATAAAGAGCCATCAGTCATCGATCGACAAGCATTGGTTGATGCATGTGATCCTGTGACGTCATAAGCTTTACCTATTTCATTTCTGCCGCTTGGCAACAGACTGGGACCAGAACTTTGTCCTACCGTTGACAACCTAGATACCTTAATTGTTGATATGTTTGGATTTGGCGATCTCGGACACTATTACTGCATATTCTGCTGCATAATGGGGAAGAAAAAAACTTGCTTCGATCACGTGTAGAAATGATTTAGGAAATAGTGATCTTACAACTACAATCATGGCTAAACCAAAAATAGGATCCACGCATTCCCTCTCCAATCTAAGGGACTTCGACTTAAAGTTTAATCAAATCCAAAAAAACGATACCTTTAAAAAAACACCGGGAAATACTAACCCTTATTAGAGCGCTCTTCAATTGAGTGTTGTAAGACCAAAACAACTGAAGAATCACAAAGGCCAATCAGTAGAAATGAAAGTACCCTGAGGAGCCAACGACAACTCAAAGTAAAAACAAATAACCCGTCTAAGGTGGGGAAAATGTGGGCGACGAAGTCGTGATAGGTGTAAGTTATGCATCTGATTGAATTGGTTGACGGAGTGACAGAGTTTTCTGGACCAATCACAGAGCAGAGTTAAGCAAAACCATTGCATTTCCAGATTATTTTCGACACCCAATTGGAAAGCGCTCTAAAACGAAACAGTTCACAACACTCGGACCCCCCTGCAAAGTGTAATCAGAAACATTCATATACCATATTTCGCCTCAAACTGAAGGCAGACCATCGGCCAAAACTGTACAAGGTGCGTCGAGTACCCCACTTGCATTTAAACCAAATCCAGTGCCACCAACATGATCTCCATTGGTAGAAGATACCAGCCCTCAGTTCAAGGAGCCTTAAGTTAGCTGAAACATCCACGCAGGTATCCCTGTAGGAAGGACGACTTGCATCGTACGACACAGTGATTGGAAAACTTCCGCTTATCAAGTTCCCGTCACCGTACACCCCAGCCCTTATAATCACTACTGCTACAGATCCTTGCAAAGTGGCTGTTACTGATGCAGAGGGCGTTACCTGAAGTGACAGTTTATAAAATTGTAAGGACTGTAAGAGCTTATTTTTATTAATTCATTTATCTATTTGTATGATTTCATGAACTCCTTTATTCTTAACTCGTCTCGTACATCATCGAGGATATTGTTGACAGAGACAGCGGTTTATTATTCAACTGCTAAGCCATTTTACCTTATTAGGGCAACGGAACGCGCAAATTATTTCACAGTATTACACTGAAGAATGTGTCAAAAATACGGACGGAAAGCAGAGCGAAAAAAAAATGGCCGCAATGAACGATCCATGCACACCTTGAGTTTTCCGTTTTTTAGGCTTGACGTTTTGAGCATTGATCTTAAAGCGCATAGATTCTTTTGTTGGCCATGAAGAGCACTTTTCGTTTGTGTTGTTTTCGTCTTTCGCTCATTGTAAAATAATAGTGAATTAATAGTGGAAAAATGAATCCCTTGTTGTATGGGTTAATATAATATGAACGGACATTTTGCTCATTGCTCGTATTATTTCTCGCCTCATCGGGGCTCAGAAATTCACTGTGCAATTCGTAAAATATCCGCTCGTATTATATTCCAAACCTTCGCCTAAGGTGTATTTATTTAAATTAAGTGTGGAGAAGCTTAGAACACCAACACAGCTCAAACATATGCGAAAATCAGGAGGTGCTGCTCCCTAATGGTGACCGAAAGCCGTGACTTATCCTCGGAAGCTAAGCCTTTTAGCAAAACTACACTCTTTTACCACTCACGTTTCCACATTTATTTATTTATTTATTATTTTTTTGCCAAATGAGGTCAAAAGAACCGTGTGACTGTGCGCTATACATCATGGTGTCCCGGTTTGAACGACAAATACTCTTACCACAAAATTGAGGCTGAAACGACAAAATCGTTTGATATTGGAAAAAAATGGTTTTTATTTGATGGTTAAACACACCATACGCCCAGACATTTCAATCATTGTTTACATTACATGTTAACCATCGATCGAGATATATCTACTCACCGTTAGGCTTAGCCGGGATGTTGAGAGCGAGCCTGGGTCCACTGAGATTCTAGTAGGTGTCCTAAGCAAAAAATCCAGATCGAGAGTGACGACCCCCAATATCGGAATACTGTAGCCCTGTAGAAAAGAAAACAAAACAGTAAATAGCATTACAAGTATATAAACTTTTCAAACAATGAGGTTATTACTTGGGCTTCCTACGGAAAAACCTATGTTTAAAATTCGGTCGCGGTCTTCGTCTATGTTCCAAAAGGCACCTCCGCCGTTTCTGCGCAGGCGCTGACTATCAGCCTCCGAGAGTCGCTCCGATAATCTAAACAAAAGTCCTGTAACCGGAAAACTCATGCAACTTCGAGTCGTTATCTTTTTGGAAACTTTACATCATTTCACCTTGAAATGCGATGTTTGATGGGACAATGTCAATATCTATCAAAACTTGCGTCTCTCAGTTACTTATTACAGACTGTAATATCTGCGTTATATCGCGACAATCTCTGTTTTACAGAGTTTTCTCCTGCTTGCATTTGAATACGAACCGCTTAGTCTTCTACCTGGAAACGATATCTAGTGACTGCAGGGTCTCACTTCGTGATATTGCTCCGAATGCTTCCAAAAAGTCATGGAGTCACTTTCTTACAAGAGCATATCGCTGTCACTCGTTTTCCTGTTACCCCTGCTACTGCGTTACTCTGTTTAGTAACACCCTATAATAGAGGCGGCTCATAGACTCATAGACTGCGACCTCTTGTCTAAAAATGTTTCCAATTTTGAACCTGTGCTGTGGTATACTTAACAGATAAATTCCATATTGCCGTGCGTCTGTTCTGAATAGANAAATTTTGGTAATAAGCGAAACAGAACCGAGATATTCAAATGGTATATTTAACAAATAAATTCCATATTGCCGTGCGTCTGTTCTGAATAGATCATAGATGTTCTGAATAGGTCACAGATGACTTCAGAATGTGGTAAGAACTGTCCAACAATAGATTATAAGTAGCAACCAATCAAAATGTACGGTCATGTATAAGTCAGCTTATTACATCTTGTAGATCTTTGTAATCGATTTTGATAGGCTCCTATCCGATGATCTTTCAGAAGAGAGACGCATAAATACAATAATTTTATGGCAATTTTTTTGTCGTTGTATTATGTGAGGCAATAGGTTTCCGTATTGTCCTGTTGTCGTAGAATTGTTTAAAAGCAGTCATTATAGCCAACAGTGAAAAAAGTAAAACTCAAAATATAATACACATAAAAGAAAGCACACGAACCACTGGTACGATTTACTTTCCACCATGCTAGTGTTTTTATCAACCTTGTTTTCCGTAAACCGTAAGTCAGCTCCCTAAAAGAACTTGGCGAAATGGAGGCCCGATCTAACCTCAACATTTTAAATTCAAGTACTTACAACTTTAATGTTCCATCCGTTTATCTGCTTTGTTTTTTTCTTAGTGGTGTCAATGGAGTCTCGAAGAAATGGCACTGGTACACTGGCTCCCAACTGCAGAGTTAAATCCAACTCAGTCTTGTCCAGCTCAAGGTAGTACAACTTTTTAATTGATTCAATGCGAATAGTGGCTTTCACTTTCATATTTATGCCAATAACTTTTTTCTCAAAGAGTGTGAACGTTATCTTTCGAGGAGCAGTAAGGAATTTTTGAACAAAGGTTTGTCTGCGACTTCGGTGTCTTGAATCATGCGATACTGTTGTCAAGTTAGTTTCTCTCTCATCTTCGCCAGTCGACGTGGTGTTCATTGCGTTTGAATCTGCTGAAGGCTCGTTCAGAGCTTCTCTCTCGGAGGTTCTTACGCTGAATTTTTGGTCAGATTTTGGAGCAATGAGTTTGACGAAATCACGAACATCAACATCTGCTAGTTCTTCGTCTTCAAGATAGCTTCTCCGAGATTTCTCATCATTAAGAAGCGTAACCTTACTCGTGAAAGAAACGTTCATCATGTTGGCTGTCGATCCATTCTTAAACTGAACGGGCTCTCCGAAATTTAGTTGTTCAGTCAAATGGACCTCACCTTTTGTTACCACGCCGTTACTCTTATTAAGAACGGACGAATCAGCATATGACATGTCCAAGTCAATGTCTGATGTCACATTGGTGACATCCGAGCGATTGAATTCGTTTTTAATCAAAAGTTCGTCATTTCCCGATGTTTTTGCTTCTCTGTGCATCTTCACAACACCGGGAAACATGGAAGATTTTTCAGGTTTTGGCTCAGAATTTGGATCTGGTTTCTCTCCGTCTACATGTTCGTAAAGGTTGCGCTCAACAGTTGGGAGGAGCTGAGTAAGAATGGCTCGGGCATAACGAGTTAACTCTACGTCTGACTTTTGGTTTCCGTATAATTCAAAGGACTCGTCTGCTTTGGTGGATTTTGGCGTTTTCTTTACCC